GTGACTGAACTGAACTGAACTGAAGGAAGTTCTGAGCTCATATTTTGTACTCAAGATTGAAGAGACAGACTATTAGAGCTGCAAGGGTCATCAAGGTTTACATATTAAATATTTTCTATGGAAACCCAGAGGGTTTAAGTGACTTATGCAAAGTCACACAACAAGTTAGTAAGTTTCATCACTTAAGATCCCAAGATTTCAGTGAATTACAAGTGCATTGCATTCCAGTAAGGCTTACTTCCAATTAAACAATGGAAATTAAAAAAAAATCAAGTACTGTAAAAGTTCATTTTCAATAAACTTCATTCAGTATATATTTATATTAATAGGTTTCATATTGGAAATGGATGACATTCAAATTAAATCTGTGTTTAGGTCAGAAAAGTTTATATTATGAAGGGAACTATATTGCTGAATGTTTAAATTTTAAAGATAAATAATGAAAAACCAAAACACACCATGGCAGTAATTGGTATACTGTAGTTTGTGGGAGTGATCTTTAACATGTTGGGAAAAGATATATTTTCCCCTGATGAGATTTCATAAACAATTATGCAAAATTTATTTTATAGCATTTGAGGAAAAACATAATTTCAGAAACAATACACTATATTGTTAAAAAGTAGTAAAAACAGATTACCACTACTTAAGGACATGAATCATATGAAATATTTATATATTGCATCTTGTAACCTTTAATAATGTCAAACCAAATCTGGTGGTTTTAAACTCAATTTCAATCCAGTGCTCTGGTCTTCAAACAATATTCGATATAGCCAGATTTCACTATCAAGGGTACTTTTTAAATAACTATGCTCCTCGTAAAATGCCTTCTTCAGAGAGGATCCTTGTTTCATGTTGTCTATAATAAACAAGATGAACTGCAATGCTATTTTCTTTTTCTTAATTACATCATCAGCTGTGTTGATTTTTATTTCTCTCATAAAATAATATCAAGCAAAATAAAGTACAAAACCCTTGTTCTTGGTTTCTAAGCAAGAAAAAGTCTAGCTTTTAGACTGTAGGTGGTTAGATGATTTGATTTCCTTTTCCTTCTATATTTCTTTCTTATTTTTAACCCTATATATTAGGAGTATTCCATAACATGCATCTGATCAGCATTTTTTTTCAATTGGTCTCTTTTCTTGACAGTCTGAAACAGACTGTGCTGCCTGCTGTGAGTTATGGCCAAATTTCCAAAGAGATTTTGCCTAGTGGAGGTCTTTCAATAGTCTGACTGCTTCTTTTCAATTAAAATTTTAAAACTAAAATAAAAAATTACAGGGTGACCTTGCAGGACAAAAATCATTATATAAATTAGAAGCTATCTTTTGGATTTGAAACCCAAAAATGTTCCTGAACTATTTTGTATTTAATTTTATTTAAGCACTTGCAATTTTAGATAAATAGATTGGCAATGAAGACGGGCCAACAAAGGAACAGCTTCTTCCCTTAGTAGTTAGTAGTAAATTATTAGCTTTTAAAGAAAATTGCCTCCTTCACCCTGCTTTAAAATATGCAATCTTTGCTGATAGCACATTTTGTCTTTTTTTGCCATGTAGCATCCTATATGTTATTTGTTTGCTTCCCTTCACATTGATTCCAAAGCATAGCAACCAAGGTAATATTAGAGGGAATTATGCTTACATTAAAATATTCCCTATTTACTCATAGTCCCAAATTACCATTGTGTACCTTAGATAAGCCATACTGTTGTTACCTATTACAATTACTAGCACTGTTACTTTAACAAAGTCAATATTAAGTTCCCCAGAAATCACAATATGTAGAGCCAAATATATCTATCGCTGTGTAGAAATAAAAGTCACAATGGATCATAGCCAGAGGAGAGCAACTAAATAGGAAGCCTCTAGGAAATCATATTCCAAGATAGATAGTTGAAGTGATTCCAGTGGCTTAAGCTGAAGACAAGACAACATGATCAGTGTCTTTAAGAGACTGACACACTGCCTACTGGGCCAGGGAGAGAATTCAGATGAGTATTTTTAAAGTTGGAAGAGCTTGCATGTTAAAGCAATGTGATGTATTGGAAGAGTCCAGCGTTGTATCATTGAAACGTATACATTACCATATGTAAAATTAGATAACCAAAGGAAACTTCCTGTATGATGCAGGGAGCTCAAAGCTGGTGCTCTGTGACACCCTAGAGGGGTGCTATGGGGTGGGAGGGAGGTTCCCGAGAGAAGGGACTTACATGTAGCCATGGCTATCATGTTGACATATAGAGGCACCAACACAATATTGTAAAGCCATTATCCTTCAGTTAAAAATAATTTTACAAAAGAGTCCAGTTTTGGAGTGTGACAACCTTCACTTGGAACCTGTTTCTTTCTGTGTGATTGGGCAAATGATTAACTCATCTCTCTGTACCTTCATTTCCTCATCTGGCAAATGGAAGTGATAAAATTAATAACTCTTGTGAAGATGAATACCAATCATTTACATAAAGCACCTAGCAGAAGGGCTAATGTTAACTAAAAAAAGTAGTTGTAGTCTGAATGTCCACGAGCAAAGGGAGAAAGGGGGCTTTTCTTGGGCTGAGAGTAGGAACTGAGCTAGGAACTGAGGATAGGACAAAGGGGAAAAAATACTGTAATATCCTCAGTGAAGCCACATTGGAGACCCAGGAACTAGATCAGAGCATTAAACCAAGGAGGAAAGAGACTAGAAAAGCTATCTCAGTGGTGATCCTGCAAAAGGGGACAGACAAGATGAAATGCACAGTTTGAATAAACAATAAGTTGGAGCTTGTGAGACTGCAGATCAGTGGTACCCATGGTAGAAGGGAGCATTTCACAGGGTTTCTGTGCCAAAGCAGTGGATGGGGAAAAACTGCTTTGAGGGCCAACTTTGTTGACATACTTGATAAATGCTAGCTAATATTAACGTTGTGAAAATGTTTATTCATATTGATACAAATTGGTAGACACGTTACATAGCAGAGTTAGCTCAAATATAAGGGACTAGTTTATTGCTGGGCTTCCCTGGCGGCTTAGATGGTAAAGAATCCACCTACAATGCAGGAGACCTGGGTTTGATCCCTGGGTGGTTCCAAACTGGGAAAGGGGTATGTTAAGGCTGTATATTGTGGTCCTGCTTATTTAACTTATATGCAGAGTACATCATGAGAAATGCAAGACTGGATGAAGCACAAGCTGGAAGATTGCCGGGAGAACTATCAATAACCTCAGATATGCAGGCGACACCACCCTTAAGGCAGACAGCAAAGAGGAACTAAAGAGCGCTACAGCATGTAGTCCCCAGGCTATTCCCTGGGCCCTGCAGCTCACCCACTGGCCCAAGTCTGCATGAGCTCCAGGGCCTCCGGAAGAAGGCCTGACTCTGCCTCTTGCCTCAGTCTCCCCCTGAGTGCCACCACACCACCCTTGACTTAATCGCTTCCCCGATGGTTCCTCACTGACAGTAACCTGTGGGCATTGCCCACTGCAGTGCTGCCCAAGAGCTAAGCAGGACAGCTAACAGTCACTCATTTACAATTGTTTGCTTGTGGATGGGGCCCTCTGAGGCACCAAGCAATGGTTGAGCAACACCTGTTGCCTAGGAACAGGGTGGGTTGAAATGGAGCACACCAATGGCTACCTGTTCAGGGCTATGCTCATCCTGCTCTGTTACACTGTAAATAGGAAAAGAATCACTGTGAAGTTAAGGTTTGTCAAAGTAGTTTTCAACGTGGGCTGGCCTGCACATTCTTGTTGGCTTTGAACTATGTATACTATATGCTGAACATGTGATCAAGTGGCAGCTGTTGGAGGGGCATAGAGATAAGCGCTGGTGACAGGAATGCCTGGGAAGATAACGGAAAGAATGATAGGCCAAAGTTAAACAAGCATGTGAAATAAAAATCTGAGGTTGGAAAGGAGTCAGTCAAAAAGATGCCAGCACACTGGACCCAAAGTGTCCTTATGTAACAGAGCAACATGGGCAGAACCCTGCGCAGGCAGCCATTGCTGTGCCTTATTACTCCGCCTCCTGTTACTAGGCAACAGGACTTGCTCAGCCATTGGTCAGTGCCTCACTGGCCCCACCCACAAGCAACCAACTATCAATGAGCTACCTACAGGTACTTGCCCTGCTCAGCTATTGGTCAGCACTGCAATGGGCCCTACCTACTGAGAACGGTCAATGAGGGGTGACTGGGGAATTGATTCATTCAAGAGTCAGTGGTGCAGTGGTGAACTGACTCTTGACGTTGAGCACCTTCCTTTTTTAAAAAGCAAAAATCAGGAATTGATTTCTGCTAGATGGGGCCAGTTGAGTTTCCCTACTCAATATGAGAGTTGAAGTGTCCCCAAAAAATTTAGTGGAAGAGACATTTAAAACTGTCTTTGCTCTGATGTGTAATCTTATGGAGACTGTGTATTGAACTTTGGGCAACAGACTGAGGATTCACCAAGTCTGGGGGTCGGTGAAGCTCATCATAGTAGATAGAACATCCAAGCTGATCTTCATTACCTTTGTCCACTTTCAGTGCTTTCTCTTAAGTTCTTTAAGCCCCTCAGGAACCCCCAACAGGCACAAGGTGACCTAGAGATGAAGTGCTTAGAGGACTCTGAAGGGATGAACTGGGACAGAAAGGGTTCAGCAGATGTTCCTAGAGGGATGAAAGAGGCAGGAGTGTTGAAGTGGCACATATAAGTCAAAGGATAAAGGGAACGGAAAGGAAGTTTGAAGGTCATGAGGAGAAGCACCATGCCCCTGAATCACCACCCCCCAGAATCAGCCACACAGACATGTCAGCAGTGGGAAAGTTATATCACGGCCCCCCTCAGCATCCACTAGCCCATGTTGATTGGCACAGTGGTGCATTGTGACGTCTAATGCCCTCAAGCTTCTATTGGCTGGGGCAGTGCCTAACGGACCAATCAGATTGAAGGGCGTGGCTCCTCATTGTCCTCAAAGGGTATAAATAGGGAGGTCAGCGGCAGAGAGTCTGGGTTAGGCCACTTCTTGGCACCATCATGACTAAGGCAACCAGGAAGCCATGGCAGTCAAGAAGAGTTGCCATGCGGTTTGCTTCAAGGAAGAATGGAACAAAGAAGACCCTTTGTCAAAGGAGGGGCAGATGCGGTGTGAAGGTAAGATGACTCCAACTAAGCTTCCCATGTTCTCCACTGACTTTGCTGCCCAAGACCTCTACCCTGCCCATGCCTGGCACAAAAGCCCTCATTAGCCCACATCCCTTTCTCATGAAATCTCCCTTCCACCTCAGTTTTTATTTCCTTTCCTCAAAACTAATACCCTTGTCTTGTCTTCCAGGCACGAAGTATGACCATGAGGGTCAGAAGACGTCTACAAGGTGTCTTCAGAAAGAAAATCCGATCGTATGCCCCTCAGTCGAAGAAGCTGAAGAAAACAAGGAAAGCAAACTATTTCTTCTCTCGCTGTGGACGAAAGAAATTGAATCGAAGCCGCAAAAGGTGCCGAAAGATGAGGCAGAGTCAAGGAAGGAGGCAGAATCGAAGGAGAAGATAAGCTCAGCCGCCCCCAAGGAAGAGACCCTGGAGAAGTGTCTCCAGAGGTCTGAGTTCTTAGCAACGGCCAACCAAGAAAAGACTCTCACACGAACATAGTTAACTGATGGCTGCAAATAAAAGAAACATCAAATGGTGAAAAGATGCTATTTGTGTGTGTGTGAATTTTCTGATGGAAGGGAGGGAAAGAAAAGAGGTGGGCACTGGAGATGGGAGGGATATGGGGGCCTGTGAGGTTGGGGAACAGACCCTCAGGTCCCCAGTTAGCCAGAGAGTAGAGGTGTGGATTGGGTCAGGAGTCTGCACTGAAGATGGATAACCCTGCTTAACACTTGATTTCAAGGGCCAGGAGTAGTGGTGTGGTGTTCCTGCCTTTGTCTGGGGTGTGGAAAGACATTAGGGTCTAGATGCCAGGCCCAGATGGGAAAGGGGTTTTCACATGGGGGTGGAGAATGTGAAACTCCCCCTGAGAAAGGCAGGCAGAAATCACCTCCTGGCCACCTACCTCAGAATGGGGTTTGTTGCATCACTCACCTATGCTGTCAGCTAAAGGTGCTCAGAAGGCACAAAGTGCTGATACAACTAAAACCCACAACTAGCATTCCCAGGAACTCAAATAATGTTTGGAGGGAACTAACCAAATATTGATTAGGCCACCTATTTGCTAAGAAATTTTTGGGAGCATTGTATTCCCAAAGAAGGGCAGTGGTTGTGGCCCAATCCCGGTGCACATTACAAACAGGATCACCCTCTACAGAGATTTGTTTTTTTGGGGGGTGGGGGTGGGGGGCACTATGTAGGTTGTGGAGGCATGGTTCCCTGACCAGGGATTGAATCCATGCCCTTCTAGTGAAAGCATGGATTTCTATCCACTGGACAGTCATGGAAGTCTGTACAGAGAATTTTTACATAAGTACTAATATAAGACTGAGTAAAAATTGGTCTTGTAATTATCACCATATCCTAGGATTTCTAAATGACTACAGTCATAAAACATTCCTCCCCAATAAAGTCTTTTGTTAGGCCAACTTCTACAAGTTTATCACGGTTTAAAAGAAAGAGTATGCAATATTTAATTTGGTGTTAACTTTCATTTTGCAATGTTTTAAAAGTTTCAAGGAGAATTTAATCAAATATGGAGATACATAAGGCAGAGTCTCTGACGATGAGAATCCTGTGTGTCTTCAGAAAACTTTTTAGAAGCAACTAAAACACAGTTTCACCATCAGCATCCAAAGGGTTGAGTTCAAATTTTAACTCAATGATATGTTATCTTTGATCTGGACTGCAGCTCGCTAATTCAATCTTTCTGGCACTCTAACGCCCGGGAGACCCCATTGATGATTCAAAGTCGGTGACTGAATGTGATTTAAAATCAATAAGGGTGAAAGACCCCATGGGTGTGCTGTCCTTTTTCTTTTTTTTTTTAAGTTCATTTATTTTAATTTTATTTTGATTGGAGGCTAATTACTTTACAATATTGTAGTGGTTTTGCCATACATTGACATGAGTCAGCCATGGGTGTACATGTGTTCCCCCTCCTGAAGCCCACTCCCACCTCCCTCCCCATCCCATCCCTCAAGGTCATCCCACCACACCAGCCCTGAGCACCCTGCCTCATGCATCCAACCTGGACTGGAGATCTGTTTCACATATGATAATACACACGTTTCAGTGCTATTTGCTCAAATCGTCCCACTCTCACCTTCTCTCACAGAATCCAACATTCTGTTTTTACATTTATGTCTCTTTTGCTGTCTCACACATGGGGTCATTGTTACCATCTTTCTCAATTCCATTTATATGCGTTAATATACTCTATTGGTGTTTTTCTTTCTGACTTCCTTCACTCTATAATAGGCTCCAGTTTCATCCACCTCATTAGAACTGATGCAAATGCATTCTTTTTAATAGCTGAGTAATATTCCATTGTGCATATGTACCACAGCTTGCTTATCCATTCGTCTGCCCATGGACATCTAGGTTGCTTCCATGTCCTGGCTATTATAAACTACTGTGATGTATATTGGGGTACACGTGTCTCTTTCAATTCTGGTTTCCTTAGTGTGTAAGCCAAGCAGTGGGATTCCTGGGTCGTAGGGAAGTTCCATTTCAAATTTCTGAGGAATCTCCACACTGTTCCTCCCCAGCATTTATTCTTTGTAGACTTTTTGATAGGAGCCGTTCTGACCAACGTGAGATTATCCCTCATTGTGGATTTGATTTGCACTTCTCTGATAATGAGTGATGTTGAGCATCTTTATATGTGTTTGTTAGCCATCTGTATGTCTTCTTTGGAGAAATGTCTGTTCAGTTCTTTGGCCTGTTTTTTGAATGGATCGTTTATTTTTCTGGAATTGAGCTGCAGGAGCTGCTTGCATATTTTTGAGATTAATTCATTGTCCATTGCTTCATTTGCTATTATTTTCTCCCATTCTGAAGGCTGTCTTTTCACCTTGCTTATACTTTCTTTGTTGTGCAAAAGCTTTTAAGTTAAATTAGGTCCTATTCATTTATTTTTTGCTTTTATTTCCATTCCTCTGGGAGGTGGGTCATAGAGGATCCTGCTGCGATTTATGTCAGAGAGTGTTTTGCCTATGTTTTCCTCTAGGAGTTTTATAGTTTCTGGTCTTATGTTTAGATCTTTAATCCATTTTGAGTTTATTCTTGTACATGGGGTTAGAAAGTGTTCTAGTTTCATTCTTTACAAGTAGTTGACCAGTTTTGCCAGCACCACTTGTTAAAGAGATTGTCTTTTCTCCATTGTATGTTCTTGCCTCCTTTGTCAAAGATAAGGTGTCCAAAGGCGGGTGCCTTTATCTCAGGGCTTTCCATTTTGTTCCATTGATCTGTATTTCTCTTTGTGCTGTTACTATACTGTCTTGATGACTGTAGCTTTGTAGTATAGCCTGAAGTCAGGCAGGTTGTTTCCTCCAATTCCATTCTTCTTTCACAAAATTGCTTTGGCTGTCCAAAGTTTTTTGTTATTTCCATACAAATTATGAAAATGTTTTTTCTAGTTCTGTGATCTCTATAGAACTTTCAGAATTTGTCCTCTGTCATGATGGAGCAAGTGAAAGGATGAAATATTTTCCCTTCTTACTGGTGCTCAATTCCATTTATCATTAAAAGACTATTCATTTCTGAAGAGCTAGCATGGCTAAAATGGAAGACAGATTTCTAGTTTGTGATATATAATATAGACATCAATTTTTTTTTCTGCAGACTTCAATCTATTTTTAATATACTGATACAAATACTGATGAATAATTTATTTTTCTATGTAGATCAATACTAAGAATGATATGGATCCTTTCCATAATCTCATCCCCAACCTTTTAAACACTGCAGTTCTATACAGTATTGATGAATGTCTGCTCCAACCTGCAATTACACCAATATCATCAGTATATTCCATGATTTCCTGATTGAACATTTCTCCAAAGCTCTTAATGTAGGAATTTAATATGTGATAATACTTTCCTATTTATAGAAGCTCCATACCTAAACACTAATTAAAAAAAAAAGCTTTAGATTTATAAAATGCTTACATTCAGCTGTACAACCATACCAGTACTTGACAGACTTTTGGCTGGCTGTCTTACAACGAAACCCTGTCTATTCTGTAAATCAATAGTCGCCTTCCCTGCATTTCTTTATTAAAATTATTTTTCAGAGATAGGGTCTTTCTCAAAGAGCAAAACAAGTAGAATATTTTCTATAGATGTATCCCATATATAGGATGTGGCCTATGTATACTATTTTGACTTACACAGAGATACTTATAAATGTATATATTGGCATATATATGGAAAACCAAACATACATAGAAAAAGTAAAAATATCATATAGTTCTAGAAGAATGCCATGCAGAAACTAATGTTCCTCAAATTTAGGCTAAATCCATTGTGTCTGAATGCGTAAACATAAAATATTAATAATTTCACATGTACAAAACTCCAACAAATATAATTGCATGGAAACTAATTGGGAATGAAAAACACTTATTGAAAACTCTAAAAGTCATCAGGTGAAAAGAGACACTCAATAGAAAATGATCAAGATAATTGAAAGACTTGAACAAAAACTTGGCCAAAGAAGTCTCAGCAATGGCAAATAAGCACAGGAAAAGATGCTGAGCATATTGGCTATGACGGAAATGCAAATTAAAACTATAAAGAGTTCTAACCACTCTCTATCTATCAAAGTGGCTACACATTTTTAAAAGGTGACCACACAATAAGGTGGCAAGGATGCAGAGAAACTGGATTATTCATACATTTCTTGTGAGAGTATAAAATGGTACAGCTATCCTGGAAAAGAATTTGACACTTTATTAAACAACATGCTATAAACATTCAAGTATAATTTGACCCAGAAGTTGTATTCCTGCATATTTATTATAGAGAAATGAACATAAAAGCTTTTACATGAATTTTCATTGAAACTTTGTTTGTAATAGCTAAAAATGTAGACAGGCTAGAGGTCCTTCAATGAGTGAATGGTTCAACTGTGGTTTAACCATAGTTACATAACCATACCACCATACCAGTCACACAGTTAACCATACCAGTAACACTCCTCATCAATAAAATGGAAGAAAATATTAATACATGTAACAACATGGATGAATCTCAAGTGCATGCCAAAGTAAAACAGAAGCCAGCCTCAAAAAGACATGTACTTGATGATTCCATGTACATATTATTCTCAATATGACAAAATTAGAGACACAGAAAAGAAATCAGTAGTCAAAAGGGATTATGGAAAAAGAATATAAGACTGTGGTATTAGGGAATTCCTTTATGGTTACAGAATAGTTCTCTATCTTGAGGTGGTTATGCAAATACACGTATATTTTACATCAATATTCATATAAAATATATTATAACCATAATACATAAGAGCTCTCAAACTCACTAATAAGGGAACAAATAAACCCATTAAAATGTGGGAAAATATTTCAATAGCAATTGGTTGACATAAGATATGACATAGGTT